TGAATTGAAACGGTCACAGAGCTCGTTGATGGACTGGCGTAGGTGGAACATGAGATTGGCTGTCACGTCCATCGAGTTGAAGGTTTTCTGCTTCGAGGGGGAGGAATAACGGTGCAGCGCTGGGGTTGATAGCGAAGAGTCTGAGTCTCGTTCGCGAAAGCATCCAGAATATTGTGAAATAGAGCTATGGGCTCCCTGTTATCGAGTTTACGAAGACTGCATCTTCACCAACGAGGCCACAAAAAAAGGCCGGCGAGATGAATGCATGTGAAGAACTGGCATGCGCCGTGTGGAATACTTTTGGTCAAATAAAGATTGTTTCATCAAACGCAGTGACAGCGGTGAGACAAATGTAAACTGGTTGGCCCGACTCTCGAGGATCCGAGTAAGAGAGAACTGGCGGAGAAATCGTTTTCAAAAGACCTCGCTGTTTACAACGGGATCTCCCCTACATGCAGTGTGCCTCTTATTACTATGCACTCTGGAATGAAAGCCATACTCAGGCTCTTCAGAAAAGGCTTCGAATATCACGTAAAAAAAGACAGAACAGCCCCAGATGATCTTCTAGCCTTATTGGGATCGCATGAGGGAATATCGGCGATGGTGTGACTGGGTGCCGTCAACGAAGGCTGAATGTCTTTTAGTAGGCCGGCTTTTGATGCACTTGAAATTGCCGTGTGAGGGTTTATAATAGAAAACCTGAGGAGTAAGAAAACAACCTTTTGAGCATTCTATGACATGTGTGTATCAACGTCTGGAACGATTGGAATGGTCGTGTCTGTCATAGCTAATGTCGGATAGCTCGCATGCTTCTAGTATAATTTGCTACTTAGGATCTGTAGTAGTGTATTCAGTAGGAAAATCATCAGAAAAAATGGGCACTTGTGAAAGGGGAGGATTTTTGTCGGTGTCCATACTTTTTAATCACTCTGTACATTCATAAGGAAGTAAAGAGAACGCCGTGAATCGAGCACAGGTGCAGACAACGGCGTTGAACTGAGTGTGGCCTCCCTTTGGTGGTTTGAATGGAACCGCAACTTGTGCGACTTCTCTTTCGTCCTCTCGGTCAAATCGGACAGTTTCTCGCGCCTCCAGGAAAAAAACGTTCAGATAAGTCACCGCACTGTCTTTCACTTGTAGACCGCCGACGCTCTCATCCAGAAACCGCCGACGCCTCAGCACGGCTTATCCCTCTACTTTGAAAGTCCGACCCGTACTCTTCAAGGTGCGAGAAAGAACGGACTCGCTGCATGAGGTTAGCGAGGGGAACTAAGGTGTCGGTTGACATACCTAGATCTGGTCACATCGGCAGTGACGCTGCCCTTTGTGAAACATTCCGCGTCGGTACACGTCGAAATTATAAGTTCAGGTTTTCAGGGTGCATACAGTACCCCAGAAAATTGCGCGCTGGATTGCCTGTGTTGGTCGTAGATGCACACAACGGGGAGCAGGACTACGTGGCCATTTTATACTTTCGGAGTGGGATACTGTAACCTGGCCGCGCGAGCGGGTACCGGCTAGGGTCGGGGTGGCAGCCTTACCCCGAAGCATCCACCCCAGGCACATCATTGGTTGGGGATTTCATTCGAGTCCGTACGATCCCCCTTTTTTGGGATTGGTTACACC